CATTTACAGAGATTTTGGGCTTCCACTCATTCATTGTTGCACTATTCTCTCTACCCTCCTCCCAGTTTGTTCTTGTCCAAATGCCACAGTGCTTGTCAAAGCCAGTTCTGATTAATCTTCTTTGTCAGTGTGTCCTTTGCCATTCCCTATCACTCCTCCCTGAGAGAGACTTCACCCTGAGTCATAAGGAAAAGGGGATGGCGTATTCTCTTAGCTACTTCCTGCTGAAAAGGGACGCTGTGGGTTTCAGGGTGAAGATCTTCTCTCACTACTCTAAAGGTCCCCTTTGGCAGTTGGAAACACATAGACTATTATGGAGATTGATTTTGGAATTTAGATGCACTCTTATTGATTGTGCTTGGCTGTACATGTTCATATCCTTGAAGATGTATCATGGGGGTGTTGCAACCTAGAAGACACAAATTTGACTAACAAGTTATAAGTACATGAGTCCAAAAATTATGGAAAAGTAAAAGAAAAGATTCTTTCATTGTTTTACAAACCCTTCCCCAGGTCCCCTCCACCATGTAGCCCTCGCTCTAGTCTCCTGTGATGACAGAAATACCCAGTTATATCTCTCTTTTAAACGGTTCTCTCCCTCCTGTTTCAGTGCAGTATACATTATTGAACCCATCTTACTCAGTCTCTCCCCAACCCCAAGGACAGTCCCATTCTACAACAGTGGCATCATGTAATATTTGTCCTTTTGTGACTGGGATATTTCACTCAGCATAATGTTCTCCAGAGTCAACCATTTTGAATAATATTGCATGAGTTCCTTGTTTTTTAATGCAGCGTAGTATTCCATTGTGCGAATATACCACAGCTTCTCTAGCCATTCGTTTGTTGATGGGCACTTAGGTTGTTTCCAACTCCTTGCTATTGTGAACAAAGCTGCAATAAACATGGGTGTGCATATATCTGCTTGGATGTCAGCTATGGTCTCTTCAGGGTATATTCCCAGTAGTGGAATTGCTGGGTCAAATGGTATCTCTATTTGCAACTTTTTGAGAAAGCGCCATACCACTTTCCACAGGGGTTGCACCATTTTACACTCCCACCAACAGTGAATCAGGGTTCCAGTTTCTCCACAACCTCGCCAGCATTTGTTGCTTGCTGTTCTGTTAAATTTTGCTATTTTGACTGGGGTGACATGTTTGTTTTTTAATGACTTACTTATGTGTTGTATTCTCTTGGAAAAAGAAAAGTCTGTCATATTCTTTAAATACTCTTAATACTCTTTTGACTTGGCTTTGAATCTTTTTCAACCCTGATGATGAGTAGTCACTTTTCGTGATTCAGCCAGTGCTTAGTTACCAAGTTATTTATATTAGTCATTTTTGATTGTATGGAAAGTCAGGCAATTATGTATATAGTTTATAATGATTTTCTTAGAATCAAATCCTTTTTCTTGTATAGTTGTACTAAGGAGCTTCCATTTAGTTAGTGTAAGCCTAAAATTTTGGAAGGAGTGGCATCCACTTCCATAATAGTTTGCCTCCGGAAAACCTATGAACGTGGAGAGAGGATGAAAGGCACCCAACTGTCGAGGACTCTCCTTCATAGGGTCACTATGAGTCACCTGTGACTCGACGGCACTTAACAGCAACAACAACAAGAAGAAGCCTAAAATTAGAGTGTTAGCACTGTATTTTGTAGTTTACAGCTGAGCTAGGATATCATGCAGAAGCACATGTCTTTCCAGTTTAAGACTGGCTCACTCTCGGTTAATGCAGTTGTGAAGGAAGGAAAGTGCTTTATTTCAATTATTAAATGAAGGTAATACTTTTAGATGTTGCCCAAATCCCTGATTGATACATCTACTCTTTTCAGGTAGATCCACCTCTTTCTAGAGTCCTATCTTTCTAGATATATTTTTGCTTTTTTACCTTATATATAAAAGAGTATATGATCTTGTTTCCAGAATTGCTCCTTTTTTAATATCCTTTTTTATCTTTTAATGATGTTGTCATTTCCATAGGAACTCAGGTCTCTTCTTTAATTTTCATCTTGATCTCCTCTATTTGCTCTCTTTCTGGGCATTTTGGGGTATACTTTGTTGTTGTTGTTGTGTACCATAGAGTCAGAACTAACACATAGGAGACCCTCCAGCAGGCTTCAGAGACAGTTAATCACATGGGAGGAGATTTCTCTTTCTCCCAAGAAGCAGCTGGTAGGCTTGAACCGAACGTTCTTTCGAAATTGCAATGCAGGTTCTTGCCACTAGAGCTCCCTGTTTTGGGGTATAGCAGCCTTTTATGCCCTTCACTTACATTTACTACTCTGCTTCTAGATTTATTTCCTTGCCACTGTAAAATCCTATCTTTCATTTTTGTTACCATCAATATCAAACACCAGATCACCTGTCCCAAAACATCACTCTTGCTTTGTCACTTTTCTCTTTAAAACTGTTCGCTATTATGCTGTTGTCGTTGAAATATACCATCGGGTTGCTTGCAGCTCATATGGACAACAGCTTTTTACAACAGCTCTGAACCCTCCTCTATCCTGAGCCAACCTCATTTTCTCTGACACACCTACCTGCATTAATCCAGTAACTAAGTCAGTCCATCTAATCCATGGTCTTCCTTTCTTGCACTGTCCCTCCACCAGAGGCCTTATGTTTAAAAGAGCTCATACTTACATGTCTTGTGCTCTACGTCCCATTCCAGCCCTACCTCTATTGCTCTCTTACCTGGGCCGTTCCTACTCCATCCAGATTGTTTAGCATGCTGTCTCTTGAAAACTTTTTTTTTTTAATGAAAGTTTAATGAAAGAGATCATGGGTTTCCATTGTTGTACATTTTCCTCCCTGCCCACCCCTCCTCCCCAGTTTACTTTTTTTCTCTTTGAAAAAGAAAAAGAAAAAAAAAATCTTTCATTGTTATGCAATCCCCCCACCAGTCCACTTTACCTCACAACTTTTATTCTGGATTGTTGTCATACAAATAATACTTAATCATATATTCCATTTAAATAGTTCTCTCCCTCTCCTGTTTCAATGCAGTGTACATTATTTATACTGTTTTCTTAGTTTACCCTCAACTCTGATGTCAGTCCTGTTTTATAACAGTGGCATTATATAGTATTTTTCCTTTTTTGACTGAGATATATCATTCAGCATAATGTCCTCTAAGGTCACCCATTTTGTATAATATTTCATGAGTTTCTTGTTTTTCAGTGCAACATAGTATTCCATTGTATGAATATACCAGAGCTTCTCTATCCATTCATTTGTGGATAGTCACTTGGGTAGTTTCCATCTCTTTGCTATTGTGAACACTACAGCAATAAACACGGGTGTGTATATATCTGCTTGGGTGGCAGTTATAGTTTCTTTAGGGTATATTCCCAATAGTGGAATTGCTGGGTCAAATGGCGTTTCTATTTCCAAAAACACCATATTACTTTCTAGACTGGTTGCACTATAATCCACAACATGAGCATTCTTCTAAGCATCCTGAAAAACTTACAGCCAAGAGAGAATAAAATAGATGAATGGGACCTTCTAAGAATCAAATCCCTATGCACATCAAAAAAGTTCTCCAATAAGGTAAAAAGGAAAGCCACAAACTGGGAAAGAATATTTGGTAAGGACATGTCTGATAAGGACTTCTAGAATTTATAGAGTACTTGCGCACCACAACAAGATAAACAGCCCAGTTGCAAAATGGGCACAGGGTATGAACAGACACTTCACCAAAGAAGACATTCAGATGGCAAACACACACATGAAGAAATGTTCAAAATCCCTAGCTCTAAGAGAGATGCAAATAAAAACAATTAAAAGATATCATCTCACCCCACTGAGAATAGTCAAAGTCAACAGAACAGCAAACAACAAATGCTAGTGAGGTTCTGGAGAAACTGGGACCCATAACCACTGTTGGTGAAAACATCTTAAAAAATGTTTCTCCTTCCCTTATAGAAAGCCTCTTTGCTTCTGCCTAAACGAATTCATTCTTTTCCCCTTTAAGATGAAATAATTTTCAGTAGGCTTGCTGTGTTGCTCCTTCCTCTTAGATAAAGGCACATTCATTCTTTCATTTGCCACTTAATGCTTAGTACTATCTCTAATTTATGAATTGTTTAACTTTTCCTGTCTGTATATCTTTTTTTGTAGGTTTTTGGTTCCTTAAGTGTAAGGATTCTAATTCCTGAATTTCTAAGATCCATGCTGATATATAAACAGTAGTTAAAGTAATACTGTTTGATGCTATGCTTTTCTAAATAGTGTTGTTGTTATGGGTTGTTGAGTCAGATATGACTCAGAAATAGGAGCTTTTAGAAAACTTATAGTATAAAAATTGCTAAGGAATCTAGTAATACTTCGTGAATAATTTTTTTGAAAATGTTGATTTTTATTGGTACTGTTGGATCATTTGAGCTTTTATTAAAGCTTCCTATTCAAGAAACTGCTGGAATCAGTGATGAGATGGTTGACCTTGGGGAACCTTACTTTCCAAAGCAAAGACAGGTAGGCAGCTAAATTCCAGGCCAGAGCTAGCAGATCTATGATAGCAGCTCTGTGTTAACTTCTCATTTAATTGTTTGGCTCTCTTCTTGAGGGACAAGCTTAATTCTTGTCCTGGTTTTTTATGTATAGAGCCCAAGTAAGAAGTAGAGAGGTAGAAGAAGGAATACAAGGTAGAAAAGACAAAACTTGTAGGAGGGTTTTGAAATGACATTGTTGAGGGAATTGAGTAGCAGGAAAGACACCTGGGCAAACTTGATTTTCATCCCATGCCCTATTTGTACACTAGTATGCTGTTATTTCTGTGTCTCCATTGCACAAGTACATTGTGTAAAGGAAATGAATTTTCATTTCAGATTATCTACCAGTGTTCTGTGTGTTTCATATAAATCATCTTTTTGGTTATAAGATTATTATTACTTTTAGAAGGAGTCTAAAGTTCTATATAAAAATAATTATTACATAAATGCTATATTTATTTTATGAAAATCTTGTAAGAGAATTTTCCCCCCCTTAATCTTTATAGAAAATGTGCCGGAGGAACTTCGAGAACCATTTTACACAGATCAGTATGACCAAGAACACATCAAACCGCCTGTTGTTAATTTGCTTCTATCAGCTGAACTGTACTGTCGTGCTGGGAGTCTTATTCTCAAGAGCGATGCTGCCAAACCCCTTTTGGGCCACGATGCTGTAATCCAGGCTTTAGCACAGAAGGGTCTTTATGTTACTGACCAGGAAAGATTGGTAACTGAAAGAGATCTCCACAAGAAACCTATACAGATGGTGAGTCTTTATATATGTACCTATCCTCACACTTCTTCAGCATTTGTGCCTTAGAATGTGAATTACACTATAAAATACAGAGAAATGTGTTTGAAATTAGCTGTCATCTTTGCCTAGAGTTTAAGAACCATGTTTTTATCATAAAATCTTCCATATAACGGAATATTTTTAAAACATACATTGCAGTGTTTGTTGCCCTGTAATATATGGGAGAAAAATTACATCATTTCTATTTTGAAATGATTTTTTCCCTTCAGTATAAAACTGTGTGTGTGTGTGTGTGTGTGTGTGTGTGTGTGTGTACAAAGTAGCTGTAAGAACTACAAAGTATATTCTTTATTTTATTCTTTAGGAAAGAGGTGAGATTCGTGAGTGTCATTTACATGCTTTGGTGACCTCATGGTAAATTTCTGCATAGCAGATATTTTAATTTATTTACTAACCATTAAATTAGTCTTATATGTATACACACACAGAGAGAGAGGGAGAACCCTAAGCTTGTTTGAGACAAACATGCAGAACTCTCAGGGATGCTCTCTGGAGACATAAATGTAAACAGTTCAGTTCATTGTGTACTTCTTCAGTCCATTGTCCTGTTTTTGCATATGCTTCCCTAATCAACACGAATGGTATCAGAAAGAAAACAAAATTGATTCACTGGTTTTCTGGCTTGGGAAAAAGGAGAGCGCTAACATGTTGAAGGATATATCTTGAAATTTAAAGAAGGATAAACAAAAATGGGTTTACCATGTCTGGTACTAAATGAAGAGATGACCTACTATACTTTCTGCCTATTTTCTTTCTTCAAGAAACAAACCAGTCAACCTATATTATATTCTTGGTAAAAAGAAACTTAATTTATACTTTTAAGGAATGGAAACTATGGCTGAGGAATAATTTAGTTAATGGAATTAAGTTATGGATTTATAATAGAATTATTCAAGATAACTAGGAATATTTATCTTTTTTTAGTATCGGCTTTATATACATGTCATATGTCTGAACAGTTTACCACCATCAGGCTAACCAATTGCTTCTTAAGGGTCTTGCCAGTATTTCACATTTTCAGAAACTCATTCCGTGTCATAGTTGACTTATAGCTGTCCTAGTAATCTTTCAGAGACTGTAAATGGCATGGAAGTGGATTGCTCTTCTTTCTCCCACGGAGTTGCTGGTGGCAGTGCAGCTCCCTACCAATAAGGCCACTGGAGCTCCCTTTTCACATTCTACAGCACAGGAGAGGAAGACCCTGGATGAGATGGATCAATACAGTAACTGGGGCAGTGGGGGTAGGCATGTCAGAGTCAGCAAGACTGGCTCAGGGCAGGGCAGGCTTCAGGGCTTTTGTACATAGATAGGGTCACTATGAATTGCAGGCAACTCGACAGCACATAACAATAACAGCAAGCCTTCTTGAATCCTTCTGCTAGTTGGACGCTTTCTCTAGTATTATGTCTCCTTCCATTACTTTAAAGGCCAAGTGGGGTAGGTACAGAGCGTGTTGATGACTGTGAATACTCGAATATTTGCCTGTTAATGGTTCTTTCAGATATATACACAATAGATAACCTAGTTATGTCTAAAGTAGGTTATCTATTTTAGATCCTTTCTAATGAGAGTGGGACACTTGTAGCATATTTTCCTTAGTGGAGATAGAGTAGTATAAAAATATAGAATGAAAATACTTTTGAAAGTATTATTTATTTTTTTTGGAAAGTATTATTTTTTAAAAATAAGGATTTGGCAGATTGCTAATGGCATTTCTCTCCAGGTTTCTTTCACGCTGTATTGATCCTGCTCATTGCTTTGAATGCAGTTTAACCTGATTTTTGGAAATGGTCTTTATGATGTGGTATGGAATTGCCCTGCTCCTCTGGTTCGGACTTCTGACTGTAGGTTGTCAGAACATGGAAATGCCTCATCATACTAGACCTCGTAAGCCTGTGCTGTGTCACATTTACTGACCAGTGTTTTAATTATATCATTTCAGTTTGGGCAGAGTTTAAAGTTTTCCGATTACTGTGAATTTGTGGTTGATGATATTATGATGCTGGTTTTTTCCTGATCTCTGGTGGCATCATTGATAGAGAGTTGCTCTACTCACGGAAAGGTGGCACCTCTCTGGTGGTTCAACTCTACCATCTGCTCTGCAGGAGAGAGATGGGCAGTCTCCTGTCTTGTGATTTATGGCCTCAGAAAACCCACTGCTGGTCAGCTAAGAGTATGTTCTGACTTAATGGATTTGAGTTTTGAATACTTTTCCTGTGTGATTGCTCACAGATTTTTACTAGCTGACTAGTAAAAAACTATTCCTTTGAACCTTTCTTAAGGAACAGTGGTTTATACAGTGACTTAGAGTAGATAATAATTTTCTTATTTTGTCTTATTTTCTGGGAAGTATAACTAAAAATGGTATGTTCAGTTGTATGATTGAATATTTTGACACTCTCCTTTCCCCCTACTGAATGGTTTTTAGTAACTTGGTGATACTTTATTTGCTTGCTGGATATAATACTGTTATGCATGCCGCCTCAGAGCCTTTCAGGGTAAAAAAATGTGGTAGCAAAAATATCTTAATTTTAAAAATGTTTAGTATTTATTATCAGTCTCAGAGGTAATATATCACAGTGAAATATATGTGTAGCAATTGTTAGAAAATATACACTATTAACTTTGATTTTCTTAACAGAGTGGGATTTAAAGTAGGGTTAAGTACTCTTAAAGATTTTGCTTTTTAATATACTGCATTTGGAAGCATTTTTATATAATAATTATGCTGTCTTTTTAAAGTTAAAAATTTTTAACTCAAATAGAAATTCATTGTCTAAAGTAGAGTGCTTTTTTTGGAGTGTACATTAAATATTTCTAAATTAAACAGTTATGTGAATGAGTACCCTGCTGTTAACCTCTAAGCAGACATGGGAAGTGAGAGGAAATATTTCCCTAAATAGTTGGATTCAGGTATTCCATAAATGGTAGTCTGAAGCTTTATAATTTTTTTTCACAGCATTTATTTTAATAATTAATCTTTTTTAAAAAATTTGCCTGGTTAAGACAAGTTTCACTAAATAGATCCTATTAATTTGGAGCTCTAGTGCTACAGTGGTTAAAATGCTCATCTGCTGACTGAAGGGTCCATAGTCTGAGCCCATTAGCTGCTCTATGGGAGAAAGATGAGGCAGTCTGCTTCTGTTGTAAAGACCCTCTGGGGTCATTTGACTCTGTATTACTGGGTTGCTATGAATTGTAATACAATACACATTGGTGGACCCAAACCACCAGAGAAATGCATGCCACCTTGGAGTTCACAATAAACTCCCTGTGGCCACCAGAGCTCTCTCTTAACACTGTAATTAATTACATTATTTTGCCTTTTAAGCAGATTTGTGTAATGCTCTTTAGATAGGGAAAAAGATGGGCAGTCGCCTCCATGCAATTTGCAGCCTCTGAAAACCTGCTGATGGGTTAGCCATGAGACTGTTCTGATTTGACAGCAATGAAAGAGAGCGTGTGTTTTTGTGTGAGAGAGAGAATGAGAGCATTAAAAAAAAAAGAACATAATTTTGAAACCTAATGTGAATATATGCTTGAATTAGTGTTAAATGTGTGATAGTGGAAACCATAGGAAGAGTTGAATACATTAAAATCACAAAGGACATCTTTCAACCAAATGTTCCACATCAAATCATACTATCTCTCAAATTCATTGTCAAAATAAATGTTATCCAGGGTGATATCCAGGTTGAAGTAAAAATTAAGATTGTTGAAGTAAAAGAGAGGGAATCTTGGAGGCTTAGTGTGTAGTGTGTTGTACTGATATCCAGAAGGTGGTACATCTCCAGGTGGCTCACATCCAAGGGAGAAAGATGAGCAGTCTCCGCCCATTAAAATTTACAGCTAGGAAACCCAGTGGAGGGTTACTGTGCATGGGAATTGATTTGATGGCAGTGAGTTTGAAGTACATGCAGTTAAATGCTAAAGAAGATAGCTTAAGAATGGACAAAAAGCTTTGAACATGGCTCTAACAGCAGAATGAGGCCACATGCAAGTTGCATTTGACCCCAGGTTTGGCTGGAGGATTTAATCAATGTCATAAAGTCTTAAGTTCATAAAATTTTATAGCAAGGAGGAACCTTTGAAATCACATCTAGTGTGAAACATGCTGATTATGAGAATTAACCTGGGGAACTGTAAGTCCTCATACTTTGACACTGTAGTCAGAGGTGCTGAATTAGAATCTTTCTACCTTCTCCTTACATTGCAAATACTAGGACTTGTGAACACTGCCAAAAGAACAAACAGGTATGTCTTAGAAAACATGCAGCCAGAGAGTTCCTTGGAGGCAAGGATGACAGAACTTTGTCTCTCATAGTTTGGACATGTTGCTAAGAGTGGCTAATTATAAGACAGGGTTATCTAAGAGTCTATTCTTTGGAAGAGTGGTGGGTCAGTGAAAGAGAGGAAGACCCTCACTGAGATAGATGGACACAATTACTGCTGCAGTCGGCTCAAGTGTATAAGAGATGGTGAGGACGGTACAGGACAAGATTCAGATAGATGGATTGTTCTTAGGGTTGCTCTGAGTTGTACTTGTCATGGCAACACCTACCAGCACAGCAACATACTGTTGGTTTAGTATATTGTTAAAGTATATTAATTTTCAGACCTTTATAATTCACCTATATCCATTTAATTGCTTGAGCCCCTGAGTGACACATCTGTGAATCCTATGGAGTGCAGTTAAACTGTAATTTACATGGGTTCATAATGAGTCAGAATCTACTTGACAATGACAGATTTGGTTTTTATTTACTTGTTCATTCATCAGACTAACTGGTAGCTCTTTTTGTTTATTATGTTTCAAGCAGTGTTCTGAATACATAATATTCTCTATCTCATATAATTCAGTACTTAAAACCACTCTAAGAATGGTGAAGGGGACTTGAAACAAATGAAGATCAAATACTATTATCATATGTATGGATTATACCTTCTTATTG